TTTTAAGTAGGAGGATATTAATAGATTTACTTAGGGGTGGGAAAAAAAGCAAAGAGCCAAGTTTATCGAATGTAAGTTTGTTGGTTGGATTATATTGGAGGGAAAATTTTGTGTTTATTATGGATAAATGGTTGTTTAAAAGAAATATACACCTCAGCATGGAGAAGATGGATAAATTACATGTAGAATAAATATGGGTTAGAGTTGATATGGGATTAAAAAGTATTGTTTAGATTATGAATAATTTTTAGTTTTTAATTTGGAATTGCTTATATTGTTATTTTTGTTTTTTTGTTTGTTTTTTGCTTAAATTTGTTTTGTATTTGAGTTAAAGTACATTATTGATTTTGTTATTTGTATAGTTGGATAAGTTTATATAGAATTTGCTTGTTTATTTGTAACCCTGTAACCAGCTCTGGGAAGTGAGGGGGGGAGGGAGGGAGGGGTTATTTCAAGGGGGGATATCGTTAAAAACTTGTATAAAACTTTTCAATTAAAAAAAATTAAATTCTGACTGTATGGTCCAAATATAATCAAATATAACCCAAATGAATGCTAATATCCCCATTGATTCCTATTGATAAACATCCAGATTTTTCTGAAGTATCATCACAGTCAAAATACAGGGTACTCCTGTTTCAAGGACTTTTATTATAAGGGCCAGTGTTCTAATATGGATCAAATGATTACATTTATGGAATACTTTTCGAATGAATGGCTTTAACATTTTTTTTAATAAGACTAAACTGCTGTAAATAGACCAATTATCAGTTTTGAGTAACTGTTTCTTACTGGGCTATGATGTGGAAAGGTACTGGATCATTCATTTTTAATTAATATGGAAACAGGCACATTGAGTGGATTATTATGACAATGTTGGCAGGATGATTTGTGTTTTTCTCAGTTCTTCTGGGTCAGGATTAGAACTCCATTGATTCTGAAAGGAAGCAATCATGCCTTTGCTAAAGTAGTTCATTTAAAAATGTGGCATAGATGCTACAGAACCTATTTAACTTTACCCATTTTACTGAGAATAAGCCATCTACCTCCTGGAACAGCTGTCAGTCATGTCCTTTCATGAGTAGGCTTTGCAGAATGTCTATGGAGATTCTCAGTCTTCCAGGTCATAGTTCTCCCAAAGGTGCTTTTTCAAAAGGCTACTGGACTTGGTCTTTTTCTTGAAGATGTTTTGGTTCAAAATGTCTTCAGGAAAAGAAAAAGAAAGTCCAGTTACCTTTTGAAAAGGCACTTTGGGGACTAAGCTTTGTGAGAAATCCAAACTAATACTGTTCTTATAAAGGTAGAACTACTTATATTTTTAACTGAATTCTGTTTACTGGACATGTAATTAGCTTGCAATAATATTAAACACACACACACAAAAAACCCTGCTTACTTTTTTGTTGTTGGCTAGCTAAATGTTAGAAGGATCCTTTAAGTTTGCCTAAGACTCTTTTGGTTTGCTAAGATGTGGAATATAGCCCTTACAGAGAAAAAGCTAGATATTAGTTTGAAATTATTAAAGGATCAGTTTACCATATACATTTTTTTGAGCAAGGGTGAGTTCCATTGAAACCAGTTCCAGGCTACAAGAAATTTACTTGCCTTCTTGTCTACTTTTAACCATTTTGGATTTTTAGTTAATCTTTTCATCTTTTTTAGTTTTTTGTTCCAATTATGTAAGCTTTTTTATTGTATATTTCAACTTCACTTTTGGTAATTTAGCATGAATGTATTATGATACTGATTATAATTGTGGAAAATAAAATGTAATTTAAACAAAGATCCAAAAACCAGTGATTACATCATTGCTTGCCATACTGGCAAGCCCTTGTTCTTTTGACACAGAAATATTTATTATGAAAACCAGGCCCTGTTAAATATATTCAGTGTGAAGATTAAGCTCTATTAAACATGAAGCAGTTCAAAGTTGAAGTCCAATTAAGCACAGGGAGTTAGAAAATTGGTTCTCATAGGCAATGAAGGGGAAGAGAGAGTGAGAGGATTAAAGAAAAGACCACAATTGCGTATCTCTGACTTGGCTGATTGAAATAAATTAGATAGCTTTCCTCCATCAGGCCATTCACCTAATACTCACTTAGTGTCTTCATTGATGGAACTAAATTACCCAGGCCAAACTTTTATTATATTGCCAGACTAATTTCCTTCACAAGCTGGCTTCTAATAGAGTGGGAGGGGTGGAGAGAGTAAAAGGGAGACAGTGAAGCCTATATAGCAGTTTGATTTTTGTTGCCATTACTTCTGATTGATAATACTTTAAGATCTCAGGGCTGAACCCCTAAGAGTTGCCTTGAGGTGTAATGAAAATATGGCAAAATGATGATTGTTTCATGGTGATGTTTGTACTACTAGGGGAAGAGAATAGAGCTTGTGGGATGCTTTGCCTCCAGCCCCAAATTATTCGGCTGGCTTTGGGTCCTATGAAGCTTTGCTTAAAGATTTGTGTGCCATTTGTTGCTTTGCCTCAGGCAGCAAATATTTCCAGCCAGGATGACCATTCCTGCTGGAACTAATTAAACTCTTGAAACTATCTTCCTAAGTGCTGGCTTTGCTGAACCTTTCAGGTTTTTGTTTTTTTTTTTCATTTTAACTGGTATTGCAACAGAGGTGATTTCCCCACTAGCAATGAGGAAGCATCTTAGAAAATAGAATCATAGAGCTGGAAAGGACTTTGGAGATCTTCTAATCTAATCCTGCTCAAGGCAGGAGAACTTATACCATCCTGAAGAAATGGCTGTCCAGTCTACAGTATTTTTGAAAACCTCCAATGATGGAGCACTCATAGCTGTGGGGTTTTGCTTTGCTGCTATTTCTCTGATCTTGAAATAGCCCTAAAAGATGCCTGAAGTTTTATTGGGGAACATAGCTATTGATAGATGATGGAGAAACTTCGTGCAACACTTTTCTGCTGTACCAACTGTATTTGTTTGCACAGGTCAGTGTTTTTCTTTTACAGTGTCAGGAACTGAAACAGTGCAATTGAGAGCTGTTGTGTCTGTTCAGATGTATGCTTAATATAGTGCAGAATCTGGGAATATAAGCTATTGCATTATTTGAGGTCAGAAAGAAATATGTGGATGCATAGGAGGTCTCATAATACCACATTAGGCCAAAAGAATCACTGAGAAAAGATTCATTATTTAAAAATACCAATTTCAGACTTGTTTTTTCCTTCTTTTCCATGATTTTTCTCCAAATTCCATTCTTTGGTTTGTAATTAGCTCATAGCAAACATACCTAATATCATTGAGCATTTCAGTGATCCTGAACAATTTCTATGAATTCTTATATAAGAAGTATTTAGACGGGGACCTTATGTCATATGAATATGTTTTCTGTGGCAGGAAGTTTCCATTAAGCCATGGTTAAATAGGTAATAGGCTGCTTAATACATTTGTCATTTTGCTTCCATTACAAGGTTGGGGTTTTTGTTTTGTTTTTTATCATCTAGGTTCATATTCTACAAATACTGAAAAACAAATAAAAGTGATCTATTTGATTTAGCAAAATGTGATACAGTGATTGAAAAAAAATCCCTTTTCCTTTCTTCCTTATTTACAGACTTCTATTTCTGTTTAATCTCTGTGTTTGAAGGATTCAGATGAAAAAACCTCATTCTATCAAGGAACACTTCCTGTGCATTCTAAGAAATCTGTTTTTTCTTCATTGTTTGTGTTGAAGAAAACAGTGGGAATAATGACTGAAAATGACAAACACACACAAACATACACACACAGAGTTAGTTTAGCAACATTATTAGTGTTAGAAATTCACTCAGTGGAGTAATTAAGTCACAGGACTTTTCACACCATTGGCTGAAATGAGTCATTCTAGAAAAGACTCAAGCTTGAGCAGTCTTGAGCCAACAGCCTATGTAAAAAGTCTGTAGAAATATGGCCCAAAATACAGTTCATAACAGAACCTTAATAAAAAAATTAGTTTTGTACAGTTGTAGGTTGAATTATAGGAATTTGCATGCTGTTTTATTGTTTACTTGATCACTGATTATTACTACTTGGAAACTGGTTATTTGTAAACTGGCAATACTGTTAATATTGGGCAGCACAAATCGATTCTTATTAAGCAAATAGGTTTTTCATTCTTTTTTTTAAATGCCATTGTAACTTTGCATGTATTTTAAATATCTCTATAAATGCAATAGGTAGTAGTAATACTTACCACACACAGTCTGGAGATGAGGTGTTCTGGTGAGTCTCAAAGTTCTGGATGTTCTCCCAGATCCCTGGCTAGGGCAGCTGGTACTATTTGAATGTGAGGTTTTTGTGCATTCATAGCTGGCTTGCTCTTTATTTTTATAGCTTTTTATTTATCTTGCTTTTTCTTGTTCATATTGAATTTTAGTTTCTTTGTTATATTGTGTACTGCCCAGAGTTGTTCTGGAGTCTGGCAGTGCCTAAATCAAATAAGTTCCATCCAGTTAATTATGAATCCAATTAATCAGAAAGTTATTTGTTTTGGAACCTAACAGAATCTGGCAATAATCCAAAAATAAACGTAAAGGTGTTTGACAGCAGGAAGGTGTATGCAGGGACATGCTCTGGATGTTAGCAAAGTCAAGATGGTAGACTTACAAATGCATGATCAAAGCCCAGCCCCTTTAAGTGTATGCTATGTTATGTAAAAATAGCTTTGGTCATGTGAACTTAGCTGCCATCTTGATTCTCTTTAGAAGAGAAAGGGTTATAAACTTTGAAGGATGGAGTGGATTTTATTTTATGAAGGTATATGTGCAAAATACATGGTAAAGCATTGCTAAAGTGAGCACAAAACTTTCAACTGAATTTGAAAAAGTGGGAAAAGAAATAAAATGCACTTGTAGCCAGTAGAAGGGGTAATCCTCCAACAGAGCAACTTTCAGTCCCTGAATCCAGAAGGATCTCATTTAATTTTCAGTTGTAATTTCTAATTATCTATAATTCTACCATTACATATAACTGTTTTATTCCTGCTCCTCACAGGATGCTGAGATCAACACACAGCAGGCTTCCTGCATTTCTTCATGGTACAGAAGAGAGGCATTCTGTCAGATATCACTGGATGTGGGAACCAAACATCAGGAAACTTTTCTCTCTCTTGCAGAATAAAATTATATAGCCATCAAGCTAGTTCTGTTGTCATTATTCTGTTCATTCTTACTATTTTCCTGAACATTTTTCTATTTAAATCCTGGAGATTATTGGCTGAGGCTTATGCCTCCTTCTTGGTCCTCAGTATTACTTTGGTATCACATTTGCTATTAGTCAGTATATGGCCATTTACATTCTGAAGAGGCAATTAAATCTTTTACTTGGAGAGTGATGTGCTTATTTGGATTCCAGCTTCATGGAACAGTGTCTCTTTTCATGGCCAGAAAAAAGAACCCTGCTAAAACCCAGCACTGCCAATTTCTGAAAGCCAAGTTGTTGTTTAAATTCAAATTAAATAAAGAATTTGTTTCCCTCAAGTCATGTTGGACTACCTGGATGCAGTCATGTCATCTCTTGGCAACAATAGGAAGTAGTTTACCATTGTATTTGACTTCCTTGTGCAACCTACAGCCCTGAGACGTTTTGTTGGTTTCCCATTCAAGTAGACACTGCTGGATTATGTTTTGTAAATCTACATCAATTTTTTTTCTTGTAGAATTTTTTTAAATGAACTTTAGCATTGTTGTAAATATTGTTTCTACTTTCATATTCAACTGTCAAACATAAATACTCTCTATTGGAATCGCTTGAACATGTACATTAAGAGAAACAATTGTGGAACTAGGTATACGATTTATAGGTTGGTTTATATAACTTGATAATATCATTTTCTTATAGCAGCATTCTTAATATCTGTACCAGTTGTCAAGGAATCCCTCTTTAAAGTGAGCTATTGCAAGCTATTTCAGCCATATGTCAACCAAGCTCCAGTAAGAGAATGGCTATTTAAAGAATAGACTAAAGCAGAAACAATTAAATGAACAGACACAAAATTCATAGATTGGGAAAATTATGTCAATTTATTTAAAAACGCAGACCATACTAATATAAAACTAGAACCAAACTTTCTTTGTTGGAGAAGAGATAATTCTGATCTCTTTTATTTATCTGAAAATATTTGTAGACTGGGATGAGAAATTTGAGGTCCAGCATGTACCTTTAATGCATCTTTTGTGATATCTGAAGCCACTTGGAACGTTATTATGGTAGGTCCTGAAACAGAATAATTTAAAAAATGAAGATATCCCCTTTCCAAGCCTATGGATAAAATAAATTAAAATATGGTATCTGAGATGTGATCCATAATGACCTCGATCTCCTAATGCCTCACAGAAGTTAAAATATGGCTTATCCTTTTCTTTAGTCTATAACTGTGTGTACAGAAAAAATGGGAAGGTACTAGAAATATAATCTGTTTCTCTTGTGCAAGTGGTTTTTAAAATAACTAGATGGATAATGAGTTCAATAATGCATACTTTTATTTATGCATTGTTTTACATAACTAAGTAATTGTAAAATTACCAGTTTACAATGGTTAGAATTTTATGTGTCATTTGCATTATTTCAGTATGAATACTTCCTCTGCAACTTTTATTTAGTAAGTTGAATAACTTGTGGCCAAAAATTTAACCTTGGAAAGGAAGTTAATTTGGTTTTTGTCAGAGTGTAATTGACAAAATTATATTACCTATCATCCTTCTGATGACTTAAGGGTGATAAACTTGGATGAATTAGAATTATTGAAAACTGAGGGGTCTTTGGTGCTCTCTGAGCTTGGTTGTTTGCTTGCACACATTTCATTACCCAAATTAGGTAATATCATGAGTTACTGAAAACTGAAAAATGCTTTCAGTTAGTGCAGCGGTTCTCAACCTATGGGTCGCGACCTCATTTGGGGTTGAATGACCATTTCACGGGGGTCGCCAAACAGCATTGTCCGCCATTTTTTTCCCTTTTCCCTAGCTGTGCTCTTTATTCCCTCCTCTTTGCATATGCACAGCTTTTTCCAATATAAAGTTAGGAAGTTTCGGTTTCAGAGCACGTGGCAGAAAGCAAGAGAGAGAACAAGCAAAAGCGGTAAGTTTTGAGCACGTTGATTCTTCGCCCTGCTTTAATTATTATTTTTTAAAAGGGGAAACGGGGAGAGAAGGGCGGGGGAGGGAAGGGGGAGAAAGAGAGAGATCTGGTTTTACAGAAGCAAAGGGAAAAGAAGGGGCGAAAGAAAAACCTTGGCTCGATTGGAGCAGGCTCGGTCCATTTCTCGGGCTGCCCTGGCTGGGGCGGAGTGGGGGGGAAGAAGGGATAGGTGCAGTTTCCGCTCGGAGCCAGCCGAAGTTGGGCTGGGGTTGGGCGAAGGAAGAGTGCCGAGGGCCGATGTGGAGGGTCAGAGGTGAAGGGGGTGCGCTGGGTCTAACCCTGAGGGCTGCAGAGGGAGGCGGGGCGGAAAGTGGAAGGAAGGGAGGGGATGGGTTGCTCGCGCCTGGCGGGGCTCTTTCTGGAAGGAAACCCATGTAGAGGGCTGTCTCCAAAGTGGTGCGGGGTTACGTTCTTGTGGTGAGTGGCGGCGAAGGGCGGGCGGTGAATCTGGGAGGACCCTCGAGCGGAGCAGGTGGTTTTCTTACCTCCGGTGGGTTCAGAGACCCCTACACCCCTTCCTCCCTTGTTTGCTTGGAACGAGGGGGCAGCAGCCACCCCGAGTCGCTCATCCCAGCCCTGTCCCACTTGTAGATTGTTGGCCAGACCCCCGCCCCGCCCGCCTGCCTGGCGGGTCTGTCTGAAAGCAGCAAAAAACTTTGCTGCAACTCAGCGGCTGTGCCCGGCTTGCTGAGTGCCCGCGTGAACTTCCGAGTCTCTGAGGAGGAGGAGGAGGCAGCGGCGGACTGAAGAGACATGGTCACCATTTTTGCCGCCTCGGTCCTCCGCTTCTTTCTCTCAGAACTGGTTCTTCCCGGCGGCCCCTCTCGCCATGGGAAAGCTGAGCCCGGCCCGGTCATCTCTCAGGGCGCTGCCTCGTCGGCGCTCGGGGGCCCCATCCCCCCTCCCTCCCGTGATGGCTGGGATGGCGCTGGCGGCTTCCTTGCTCCGATGTGGCGACCAGCATTGGAACGGCTGTCGGCAGCTGCGGGCTTCGTTGTGTGTCCCCCCCCGTGAATGGCAAGCCCCGTGGGGCTTGACAGTGGTGTTGCTTTAAGAAAAAAAAATATTCCCCCCCGCCCCATCCCCCCTTTTGCATAGCAATAAACACCACAATAAACATTCTCGTGCTTTGTTCCCCTCCCATTTACTCGATAAATATTAAACATACACTTCCTGCCTCATGCTGGCTGAAGGGCAATGTTTGAATAAGGCTGTGGAAGATGACTGTAATCAAAAATCAGAAAGAAAAGGAACTCAGGGAATATTTCCAGTCCGTGTACACTAAGTTGCTAAGTGAAACGGTGATTATACTTATGATCATACTTCAGCTTTCCTTTGCATATTTGTGAAAATTGTAAATGCAATGATTGGTCATAAAGTTACTTTTTTATCACAATCTTAATTGCAAATGGTCACTAAATGAGGCACTCACTAAATGAGGACTACCTGTACCTAAAAAAGTCAAAAGGGACACTTTAAAAAATAAAGATTTTACAGGCAACAGCAGTACCTGAACAATCTTGCCTAGGGACCACAAAAAAACCCCTGGCCTAGTTAGGATGGAATTCTACCAGAGTCCAGACAATGTGGTACAAAACCAAACCAAACCACAAACACATCCTTGCTGGGATTCAGTTTAAGTCTATTTCTCCCCATCCAGAACTGGGCCTTCAGGATCTGGGTCAGGTCTCCACCTCATGAAGATCTATAATAGAGTAACATTGGCATCATGATGACTCTTTCATGCTGGCAGATGAGCTCTCCCAATCCCTTCATGTATAGTTGTACTTTTCAGTCTCTGCAACTTTAAATGTGTGCATTTCAATTCCCAGAATTCCCCAGCCAGCATGTAGATTGGGGAGACATCCTATAGCAGAGCTCCCAAGAACCCAACTTCTCCTTTCTCCACCTGCTTAGGACAGAGAAGAAACACTACAAAAGACAGTGTCTCCCATTTCCAGGCCTTCCAACTATCCCAGAGGGATAGTCTCCAAGATCCCTTGTACAGGAAAGAAAAAAAAAAAACCATGAGAGTTTTCTGGCAGCTGAACACAAGGGATTATAAAATGGACCATAAAACAAATTGCATGGATATGGTACTTAATGTCACTGGCTTACATGTTCTCATAACAAGTAGCATATCTCTGAAATTATTACACACTGAGAAACTGAGAAACATATCCCTTCGCCTGAGAAACATATCCACATGTGTTTTTCTGAGAGTTATTTTGGTTGTGGCCACTTGGTGGCCACGCCCACTTGGTGGCCACGCCCACTTGGCGGCCACGCCCACTTGGCCACCACGCCCACCTGGCCACGCCCCTGGGGGGTCACCACAACATGGGCAACTGTATTATGGGGTCACGGCATTAGAAAGGTTGAGAACCACTGAGTTAGTGCAATATAATAGTTAAGGTAGTGGATTGGGGCCAGGAGCTAAGTGAATGATTTTAGACTAAGTAGCTACAAATTCTCAACCTAGCTTTATTCACATTGAAATAACTGAGTAGATAGATCTGTCTTCATCTGCTAAAGAAAGACATATAACTTTCAGTACTAAATAAAACAAATGAATATTTCAAATGTATATTCAAATATTAAATTGCATCATGGTGTTGTCCTTTCAGGACAACTTTTTTAAAAAAACAAACTTGTATGGTCAACTATTGCTTTCTTTGTTTTCTTTGAGCTTTTTAAAATGTTATGTTTCACTGTCTCAGTGGGTGGCAATATTTAGCCCAGCCTTAGCTGATCCTGGAAGCTAAGCAGAATTGCTCCTTGTTAGCACTTGGATGATCACCTGAGAATTCCAGGCTTCTTGGGCAGACTGAGGTAAACACAAAAAACAGCAACGACAAAAGCCTAAAACAAGGCAATGACATATGATTTCTATAACATCATAAAAATGTTATGGTATGGATGAAGTTACTGGAAGTCAAACGTGACTTGAGGGCATCATTTTCTTTTTATTTCATTATACTGAGG